GTCACTGCAGCTGTTGTCTTGATGGTTTTTTGGCAAGATGCAATGACTTTTTTTTCTTATGACAATAAAATAAAAGGGAGAAGCCTTACTATTTTAGCCCTTCCAGTAGTGATCTACCTTAGGCTTTCAGAGTGCTCACAGTTTTGTTTAATAATCACTTGTTCTCTTTCATGGCCAGTGAGAAGTTAGTTACTTGTTCAGATTCACTTTTGTGCCTGGTGAAATCAATAGGAATAAGGTGCATAGGCAAGTTAGCTGAACTATTAATGTATCTTACACAACAATTGAGTGTCCATGGCTTTCAAATGTTCCCTTTCCTCTAACAGTCTCATCCCATTTTTTTTGTACTGTGCAGTAACGTCACAGTAACTCAAGAAGGTATAAACAGGCTTACCCTGTTTGCTGGGGTGAGCAGAGACCCTGATGTGGCACAGGGGTGTCCTGGGAGCAGCAGAGGTCACTGTGAATGTGGGTGCAGACAGCTGCAGCTCCTCTGCTGCCCTGGTGTGATTAGTCAGGTAATTTCCTAAGTCAGATAATTTGTGTATGTTTGATGTTTTAGCAGTACATACCAGACTCAAACTTGTTTGTCTTTTTTATCAAATAGGACACTGAAAGTGTCTTGCTGAAAGTTATATAAGAAATCTGTAGCAGAGCAAGGTTTCAAAGGCCAATAGATGAACCCTGAAAACTCAGCAGTCACTAACTGAGGACTGAATTCTTTTCCATCAAAACTGGTGCTGTCCAAGGTAATAGTGAATTGTGTTTATGTTTGGACAGCCAGTTGTAATTCTAAAGGGAATTGGTCCTGAATTCTGATTAAAATTATGTGATATAACATTATAAAGAACATTTCTAGGGGTAGGAAAGCTATTACTAGATTAGCTGAAAGAAAAGGTAAGTGAATCTTCTGTTCTGCTCAGTGCTGGTGACACCAGACCTGGGGAGCTGTGTTCAGTTCTGGGCTCTGAGTACAGAGACGTGGACAGAAGAGAGCCCAGGGAAGTGGCACGAAGGTGATTGGGGCTGGTGCATCTCTCCCATGAGGAGGGGTGGGGAGCTGGGACTGTTTAGCCTGGGGATGGAAGGCTTAGGGGGAAACTTAACAATGTGTATAAATTCCTGAAGGGAGGGGTGCAAAGAGACCTGAGCCAGGCTAACTTCTGTGACACTAACCCTTATGTGACAAATTTATGCATCTTCTAATTCCTCTTCTTTTCTGGTTAGCACTGAAGTAAAATAATTATTTTCATGAGAAAGTAATTTCATCTGAAGTGAGTGATTTTGTTTCTCCTTCTGTATTGGGTCAATCTTTTCAAGTGCCAGGTCTCTAAGTAAAAGTGTTTCCCTAATGAAACAACCAATCTTGGTGAGCTGGGATTGGCCTTCCAGGCAGAATGGAAGAAACTCTCCCTTTTTAGGCCTTGAATGTAAGCAGTTATGGAATTTCAGTGTCTGGAATGCTTAAGATTTACAAGCTAGCTTTCCTCAGACAGGTATTGTGAAGTTATTTACAGAGACTTAACACTTGGTAGTTTTAATACTATATTAATCCCCCAACCCCCAAATATTTAAAATTAAATTTTGCTGGTTTATGAATTTCAGTGTTAAAAAGCTTTTTGAGAAATTTTCCTGGGGCAATATTTATAAAGTTAGTATAAGTGTCATGTTAAAAACCTAGTACAACTGTTTGAATATTTTTCCCATCTAGTTTCTGCTTTGAGTACAGTCCTAATCTTCAAAATTATCAGCACAGAGAATTTAGCATCTTTTTCTGCTAGTAAATTCCCCTTCCCTGCTGTATTAAGTAAATATATGTATAACTGTAACCATTTAAAACTCATCCAGTGATGTAAACAGTTGTACTTCCTTTTTTGTTGTTGTTGTTCTTATTAAATGTTAAAAAAAAATATATTTCTAAGTGTGGATCTCACCTCTGATGACGACTTTTCGTAATTTGTGGAAAGTCATCTAACTGGTCACTTCCTTTTTCTACATGTTAAATGTTACAAAATCATTGGTATTTGATTTCATGGTATTTGAAAAATTAGTAGTGAGGAGATAGATTTCATAGGTTTATGAAATATTTCGATTGCTCAGATACTGGTCACTGAGTGCAATGAAATACTGATGTTTTTATTACTTTATTGATTTAACGTCAACTTACATCTTGCTTCAGCTTATTAAAAGAGAATATACATATTTTCTTCAAAAAGTAATTTAAAACACAGACAAGTGTATTTTAATAGTCAATTGATCAACCATTTAGTAATGTGATTATTACAGATGCTATGCAGAGCCATGTTTTAAGGTACCTGCAACAGAACTAAAAGTGAGACTGTATTGTACCATATAATATATTTTAAAGGTCATGGATATTGTCCAATTGTCATTTTTATTGTGTATGAAATGTATTTACACCATTTTGCATACCTTTAAAGAGTCACAAGTTATGAGACAAATATGTAAGTATCTCCCTAACAAGGAGATGTGTTTTGTGTAGTTTTTTGAAGGGATTGTTTCAAGAAAAATAACTTCCTTATGGAATCCTAGACTCATTAAAATAGGAAGAGTAGTACTGCAGGTCTCTTGTCCTATCTCCTGCTCAAATTAGGGCCCACACTGCTTGTACTGGGCTTTGTATTTTAAAACCCTCCAAGAATGGAGATTCTGCAGCCTTCTCTGAGATTCCTCAGATGAGATTTGCTCATTTGTGTCCCAGAGCGTTTATCAGCAGTAATACAGAAGTAAATAAGCAAACCCTTTCTAATTACAGCTGCTGAGTAATGGAGCAGTTTCTGTGTGATGGGAGTGGCTGCTGTAGGTGCTGCTTTGACCACAGGAGTTGTGTTTCCCTTCTGAGCCTCAGCCTGGACATACTGTGTAGTGTCGGTGGGAAAAAAGAAAAAAGCTCCAGCAAAGCCAATGCCTGTGAAGGAAAGGCAAAGAAATCGCACTTGAGCTTGGCTTTTATAACCCTTTTTGTTTGGGTTTGGTATTATACAGGCTAGTAATGAGCCATTTCCAGACATGTGTATCAGTTTCTTTATGTATAAACATATTTCCCTCCAACATGGTATATTGTATGTTAAAATTGCATTGGATTGTGACGTAATTGATCTAAGAGGCTTTTGTGAAGATTTCTGACATCTTTCTGAATTGCTGTTAAAATCTAATAGATTCTTATTATCCTTGTCTTCTAATAGTTTGCTACTGGAGATCATCACTGTAAATTTTCTGTTTATTATTCTCTGGTTTTAGCACTAAACGGATTTTTTTGAGTCAGTATTTGAGAATAGATTTTCTAAGATAAAGATACATTGACAATTGCTCAGTTGTAAGGATATGTGAGTGGGGTACTGATGAATTGCAGCATTTGCAGTCAGGTGTCTTTTTGGGAACTATTCCCTCACAGAACACATTTCAGTTGTGTACAGCTGTAAAACATGAAGCAGCCTTGGCTTACCTGAAAATGGTGGTAACATTGTGATTCATTATATAAAACATTTAGCAGTGAGGGCTAATTACAATTTGGATTCAGGATTTGTTTGACTGTATTTCTATGTTCTTGAATTACATAATCACAAGATTGTTTAAAGGAGCCTGTCTGCACCTGGTTTTATGGTTTTTTACATATATATTTATATATTAACGTGCATACATACATTTTAATTAAAATTTCAGTAAAGCTTTTAAGCACAAACAATCCTAATGGGGTTTTGTTATTTTAATTTTTATTTCAAAGCTTCTGCTAACCTAGTTTAGATATAGAAACTTCTGCTAATATGTTAATGTTGATCATAAGTGTGAGCTTTGTTTCACTGTTTAAATATTCACGGAAAGTAGTGCAGGGCGGTACCAGCAAAAAAGCTTCCTTTATAGTACAGTCTGTTGTGTTCAGTGAACAAGTAATAAATAAAGTAGCAAAAGCACTGTGAAGGTTTACTGATAGAGCTGTACTGACACTTTTTTTTTTTGCATGGATCTGTTTATATTTTCTTTCATTTTTGACTTGCAAATATCACAATTGATTTTCAAATGGCACTATTTGTTAAACAACTTTTTTTTAAAAAAAACTAAATATTTGTCAAAGGAAATTGTTGCCATTTTCTGTGAATGCTTTTATAATGAAAGTGTTTCATGTAGGGAGAAATGGTTGACGCTAGATACTTGTTATTCAATGCATAACACGGAAACATTTAAGACCATTTTTAACTAACTTGACCCCATCCCAGTCATGTCAGCTGCTTTAGCTAGTTTTTGGTGATCTTTATCTAAGTGCAGTTATCACAAACCCAAGAAAAAGTGTAGGGAAACTGAATTAAATGATATAAGGCATAAATCAAGTAGGGCTTAGTTGAGCACTTTCATAGCTAGAAAATTAAGGTGTCTTTTGTTTATCAGGTCACAGTGATTTTAGCTGTAGTTTCAAACTAGTCAGTCACGCAGGCTTGCACGTATTTCTGTATCTGTGGCTGGAGGTTCTACCATCTTAGGATTATTTACAGTGCCTGCTGGAACTGTAACCTTCTTTTACCTGGCATAACTCTGAGCATGTCAGTAATTCAATTATCAAGAGTATGTGGCATAGATTTTTAAAATTTTTGCATTGTTTCTTTTGAGATGTCCATTGTGTGATTTGCTGCAGGCTGTCATTTTTGTCTGCCATCCAATGTATGTTGGCAGGAGGGTTGTGTACTAGGCTTTGTGTCTGGTCACAGAAAAAAATTCATGCATCTCAGCCAGACCATTTTGTTATTCCTTTAGAATTAAAGGCATATGAAACAGATGCAGCTTAATAAGTATCTTTTTTATAAATAACATTTAAATAACTTAAAACAATAAAGTTCAAATACAACTTAAAATAAAGTTTAATGCTGTAACAACAGAAAAAGCATGTATAAGAATGGAAAAACAATATTGAAAGCTGTATGCCCTAACAGGAATTATACAAAAGATAGGATATGTTACATAAAAAACCTTAATATGTCTGAATTTTTGCTTCATTGTTATATAAAATGTTAATTTGTGAAAAGTGAGATGAAGTACATTATTTATTCCTATTTTTATTTTACATACACTATTTGAAACATCTTTTAGAGCAGCATTAGGTATTTGTTTCATTAATAGATAGGAACATTTTGTGTTAGAGTAAACTTAATTTGTCCAAACTAACTCTCTTATCTGAATACAACAATAAACATTTACAAGATTATATTTTTTTTTGATCATATAGTTTATGTATAGGATATGAGTTTCTTGGGGGAAGTATTTAAAATACTGCTCAGCCTCCACATTTTCTATTGACTTGATAATCTGACAACTCATTCCAGCAGCCTTAAAGTCTGACATATTTTACACAACATTATCATCTGCTTATTATTATTATAGCAGCCATATTTAAGAAGCAGATAGTTTTTTAAATAAAATATTATCAGATAATCAAGTAATGACTTATTCTTCAGGGTAAATTAATTTAAGAAACTACCCAGTTACAATGACTTAGATAATGATTGTACAGCTCTTTAGAATTTTTTACAACTTTTAGTTAGTAAATCTGATTTTGTGTATATTTTCAAATCTTTTTCGTGTAGTCTCTTAAAAATAAACATAAATGCGCAAGTCCAGCTTGTTCAGTTTCTCAGTAGTATTCCAGCCTCTCTTGGTATCTTGTCAAACAGTCTTCTTAAAATTAATCTTCCTGCTGGAACTAGTTCTTTATAGATCATTTGTGATTAGGATATTGCCAGAGGAAGAAAGTGGGATGCTCTGTGTTCTTTCTTTGTTTTTTTACCTTTCATTGGAACCCCTTTGTGGTTTAGTGTAACAAACATCTCTTTTCCTTTGTGTGTCCATTTTGCAGAAGCATACGTGTTATAATGGTTTTCTTCAATCAGTTCAATGAAGTTGCAGTCCTCGTTGCAGACTTTCTGTTGAGAGTAGATAATAAAATATGGTAAGGCAAGTACAAGTGTCTTTTTAAATACTTAGATTAGGGAAGATGGGTGAAGAGTAGGCATTATAGAGCCTGCATATAAGGAATATTTTAATAAATAAATTTGGCCTCTGAAATCTGAGTATTAAATATTCTAGCTTTCTATATTCTCCCTTAGTATTCCAAATTTTGAAGATGTATATAAGACCTAATCATTGAATTTATTAAATGGACATAAAAGCCTAATATGGGATGCATGGGATAAGTGCAGAATACATTTTACTTAGTTAGGAATCTGTTTTATAGAAAACCATTCAAATGCTACATCTCAAAATACCTCTGAGATTGTAGGGATGTACACATAAGAGAAGTTTGCATCCATACCTTTCCATAGAGTCGCCCTGACTTGTTCATTGCCAGAAAGTATTCACTTTCCACTCCTTTGATTGCCACTATTCCAACTGCCACCGTTCGGATTTCTAGAATACCTGCAAAGGTACACAGCAAGGGCTGTAAAATGGTCGGTTGTTCTCCAGTTAACTCAGAAGGTTTCCTTGAACTAATATTCTGTAGTATTTCCATGTTTATTGAATTTATTCTTGGAAAACAGAAAAATTATGTGTATTCATGTGAAGAAAGGGATAAACTGTAAAAATTACCTCTGTGATCTTGTCTGCATAGAGCCACTTTAAAATTGTATGGTGGTCATTTTTAAGTATATATTGAAGTTGTGATGTATAAGTAATTCCTCTATTTTCAGAAAATCAGTGTAGCTTAGAATTTATCAGGATCAGGGTTTCATTTGGAATATGTAGTTAGCCATCAAGGTTCACAGAATTTGTGTAAAGCCTTTATTTTGAAGTCTTGTGTAGCAGTATCATCCCCTTGAAAGAGTGTAAACCTTAGAACTTGCGAGTGACAGAAAACAGACCACAGTGTCTTAAATAAGATAAAGTATTTGCTTGACCTTCGTGTGCTTTTATGACTGACCGGAGCTGTAAAGATACGTGTATTTGAAAATCATTAAAGGCTGTCCTGAGAGCTTATTTATTCAAAACCAGAAAACATTTAGTGTTGTTTTCTATAACCTGATTTATTTTCATCTCACTGATACATATCAGCAATACTCTTCTGTAGTCACTATGATACATTTAAGTTACCTGCAACATAAAAAATATTCTTTTGTTAATATGAAAAAAAGTGAAGGCAGGGGGATTATGCAAGTTATTAAGGAACACCAGGTTGTTTTCAAGCTTAAATATTATTAATGTTTTCTTAAGCAATAGTTTTGAGTTATGTATCTGAGTTTGAGCTATTTCTTTCAATATTGAGTCACTGGCAGAACTCTGCCATAGCAACTGCACTGTGACTCCTTCTCCAAAATGGGGTCTTTCAAAGGCAGCCAACTTGAGGCAAATTGCAAGAGCTAGCTAAGCATGGGGGAGACAAGTGAGGGAGCTGGGAGAGAGGCATGTGTTAGATTATCACCTGAATTTCCTCTTTAACGAAACATTTCCTTTTTTTTCCCTTTCAAGTTGGCATTGACTTTTCACAGCCACACAGTAATGGTTTTTCGTTAGTTAGGTTTTTAAGAAAGGCCTTAAGTAACTATGATATTTCTCATTCCCTATACATTTTTATCTCCTCTTGTCCTTTGCTTTCCTTCGTGTTGTTTTCCTTTTCTCCTTGATATTACTGGTGTGTCAGTATGAGTATATTTTTCGTCCTTTTTTCTTTTGCAGATCAATTCCCTCTCCAGTGATGTCTGCACTGCTGGGCATTCAGCTCAGAGTGTTTATACTTCTGTACTTCCCTATAATGCTAAGTCAGCTTTTTTTTTAAGTAAAGCTTTTAGAATTCTTTGACAAGTTCCACTCTTCTGCAGGCCTAGCAATAGTTGTAACAAAGGGTAATTTGTAACCGAAACTTACAAAAATTATATTAACTATCATTTAAATTTCACTTTAGAAAAACCACAGTGAGGCTAAAAAACAGATGAACATCTGCATTTAGCCTAACAAAGAACACAACAGTGGAAGGGATCTCTGGGTCATCAAGTCCAGTGCTCTGCTAGCCTGGGAATTGCATCAGATAATTCTCTTTTCATAAACTTTGCCAATACTAAATTGGAGTTGTTATTTCTTTGCCCCCAGTGTTTCTGCCGAAGGCTGTTCCAGAGTTTGATTTATTTTAATGGCTAAAGACTTTGTAGTAATTTGCAATCTGCATTTCTTCAGTGACAGCTTATATCCATTTGTTCTTTTGCCTCTGCTGGCCATTAACTTAAGGGGAGCTTTTAAAAAAAGTCTATGTTTGAGTTTTCTATTTATACAGAATTTTTAAAAAGGAAAGATTTAAAATTACTTTTTAAAACAAATCATGCTAATAGGAATTGAGATTTCCTTGAGTAAGCTGATGTTGGCTGAAGTTACAGTAGTAAGAAATCTTACTGCTTTAAAAAAGGAAATGCCAAAAAGTTTTGTCCAAAGCAATATTATTATTGTTACAATTTTTACATTAATTTTTTAGGTTTTTCTTTTTGCCTGAAGTAGATTGTGACTAAATTGTTGGAATTACTTTATTTTGGTTTGGGGTACTTGTTCTTCTACTTTATTCACAGTTGAGACATCCGTGTCTTTCCTTGTCTTAAACGAAAAGGTCTATTCTTATGTGCTTCCTTTTGAAGTAAAGGTGTTTAATCCTTTCAATATCTATTCATGAAAAGAAATAAGTCATCAAGCTAGGATGGGAAAGAGAAAATTCTTATACATAGATTGTTTCATTGAAATACTCTTTTCATACTCTAGCAACCAAAATTACTCTAGAGGCTTGCTTAAATGAATAAGATGTTGATGAGGAGAAATTCAGAAGGTCAAGCTTCAACAAGGTCTTAAATATCCCTGATTTCAAAATTAAAATGTAAACTGTGTTCTTCAGTTGCTTTATCTAAAGCATCCCCAGAGAAGTTTGGAAGAGGTTTAAGAGAAGACTTAGTATACCACATAGTAACTGGGAAAGAAATCAGATTAAAGCTAGGAAAAGTAAAAAAAACAACCTAGAGATGGGCATCCAAAATTGAAAACAACTGTACTTCCTATAAAATCAGCGTGAAATTCCAAACAGTTTTATATGGTTGTATGGTCAGTGTATCAAATGTAGATTAAAATTCCTGTAGTGACTGAAGTTTCCTACAGAGCTGAAATTACTCTGGTGTATGTAAAAGACTCTCAGCAGAGATGGGCTGTAGTTTGGAAAAGATGCCTATGGATGGTGGCAGCTGTTTTTGGAACCACTTGGTACAAATGAAATAACACACAGTTGATACCCAGTAGAAAAAAAAAGAAAATAAACAAAACAAGCCTTTAGGCTGACACAACAGTTTCAGTGGGTGAAATGTGTATCAGGTTTTGTCATTAATGAGCTGAGTTTCCTGACATTTTGGTCTAGAATGACAGTTCCTCAATACTTAGAAGCAGACACTTCTATGTGTAGACTTTTTCCATAACTGTAGCCTGAATGGCAGGGCAATACCTCAGAAATTTATGCAGAAAAATGGCATTCAGTTATATGATTGCTATAAAATTGAGCATTGTCACATTGTCACATTCTTTCCGGGCAAGTAGTATTTGATAATTTTGTTTTTATTTCCTGATATTAAGTGTTTTTTCTGATTCAATTAATATTTTCAAATCAGCATTTTCATCTTCCTTTTATTTGTTACACTCCTTTTTGCTTTTACAACACACTGACATTGTATTTGTTAAACCAAATCTTTGCTTTTATTGCTACACAAACTGTTTTTAGACTAGATTGAAGTAATTTCCATCAGTATGCAGACACAGTTGAATAGGCAGTTTCTTTATGTTTGCCCATAATACCCTTGATAAAAGCATCTTATCTATAACAAAGTAGCAAGAACCTTGTGATTTAGCAAAATCAGGGCATTTCTCTTTACTCATTTGTGAGCTAAGAGGCTGAAAGAGCAATTGCAGCTCTGGCTCCTGAGAGCTGTAAGGAATCCAGTAAGTGCTGCTGATGCCTGAAGATCCCATGGGCAGGTATAACCTCTCAGGGGGCTTTTGGAAGAGGAGGGACAGCAGAACCACAGAGGGAGATCTCTTTTCATGTTCTAGGGAACTGCCCCAGTATGCCAGGATTGTTCAGGAAGATTCTGGGAAGCACACATTGAGTTCAGTCCCCTGTCAGCTGTTTCCAGACATTTCATATGTTGCAGGTATCCCCTCAATGTCTATCACGTAAGGTTTCTGCTCACTGCTCCTCAGTTTGCCAGAGTCACAGTGTCTGTAGACATTCATTCAAAGAGATGTTTTGGCATCCATTATATTTTCCAGAAAGCTGACAGCAATTTCATCCCAGTACTTTTCTGTTCTGCCGGGTACGTGTGTTGTGGGAGCACATATGATACGTACAGCACTTTATTTCTTGTGGCTCTCTGCAGTGAAGTTGAAAAAAAGCAGTCTGTTGATGATTTTTAGGGGTAGGGAGGCTGGCACTGACAGTTTAGCACTTGTAGGAATGTGTTTGTGAAACACTCTTTCCTCAGCAGAATTGTCTTTAAAAATAAAATATGTGAAATCTTAAATAGGGACAGAGGGGCAGAGAAGACTTGGATGGAAAATGAGTCAAAACAAAATGTGACTTCTAAATTTCACTAACTTGTGTTTCTCATTAATTGAATTTGGAGTACATATTTATGAATTCAAATGACCTTTGCAAATTATTCAAGGCCAAGAAAAATTATCTCGTCTTTGCTTAGAAGGCACTGTTTAATGATAATAATTTAATTTATTCTTTTGTTCTGGCACTTAATAAGTTAATGTTTGTGCCTCTTAAAGCCAGAAAATATGGTTTGTGATGGTCAGTCTTGGAAAACTTTCATGCTGTTACTGGTACGTGTGTGCATTTGGTAAGCCAGCACAGTATATAGCTGGTGTATTACACTTAAATGTTTTTCCAGAAGAATCTTGTCAGTGAAATGAATATTTTTATTGGATAATTTTGAAAGTAATTTGTTTCAGGAAATATTTATATGCCTTTTTTTTAATATAGTGCATATATTGTAAAGTATTTGTACATTTTAATTATTTTGAGTCTTAATATTTTAAAATAGATGCATCATGAAGTTCATTTTTAGGTAAAAACATTTGTGTGCTCTTTCTCTCTCAAATATAAAAACTAACAGTAAAAAAATTACTGCAAATAAAGGTCTTGATTTAAGGTATTTTGTAATATGACTTAATTTTTACCCTTCCCTATTATTAAATTAAAATTGATAGAAAGCAGAATTTGCATTTATATGGAGTACTTTCTTAGCAAGAGAATAAAGGAGTTTCTTAGATGGTACCTCACAGAACTCCTGTTCATAAGCTTTTAAAGTAGAAATAAATGTACAGGTATATGTTAAAATATGTTACAATATGTTACAAAGCAGGAGATTTCTCCGCACCAGGAATTTTCTGTCTGTGGA